TAAATAATTTTTCCCAAAGGCTTGCAACCACTGGACAAGAAATAAACAAGTGGTAACAGCTCTCACCAATAGCTTTACAAAGGGTACACCAATTAGGGGATAAGCAAAAAGAGGCCTTCTTTTTCGCAAAGTGTTCAATGTAATTAACTTTTCATGAGAGGCTTCCTAGCAAAGAGCACTAACCTTGGGTGGGTGGGGTTTGGACTAGACTTCTTTAGAAGGGAAAGAAGAGCGAGAGGAGGCTGAGCATGAAGAAGAGAAGGAAGCACAAGAGAAAACACCTTTGAGGTGAGGCATCCAAACCCTAAAGTCAGGTAAGGAAGGGTCCAAACTAATCATTGGACAGTTTCACGAGCAAAGCAACCTGATCAAACTCATGATCCCTTGGGTTTCTTCTAAATCCCAAGTCACAACTAATAGTAGTCAAGATGAAGGAGGAAATCATTGGATAGGTTCATTTTTAAACAAGGGAATACAAAGAGGGAAAAAGGTCTTTAAGAGTAGAATTACTAATTTCCCATAACTAAACCTTATCTCTAGTACATGCATCTTACCTAGTAAGGCTTAGAAACTGAACAAGAATTCCATGTATGGCTTTCTACGGAGAAGTGAAAGTAGCCTGCTAAGATACACCAGCATCCCAACCATTACTTTCTTGCCCATGTATACTTTCCCCTTTCATGCCATAGTTTTTCCCTCTCCAATGGCCATCTCCGCAACCACTTACCCAACAAGGCCAAATTCTTCTTCCATATATTACCTATGCACACAAAGTTCCTCATAATTTTCTCTACTTCCAGCACCTCCCTCTATGGCGTCCTAAAGATTGAGAGGTAGTTGACTGGTAAGTTTTCTAATGTAATTTCTCTTCCATGCTGCCAGTCGTTTAGCACATCTTTCTACTATTGATGCCTAGAACCTACTTTTTCAAGGGTTCTCTCCCAAAGGCATACCTAGGTAATTGACCAAGCTGAAATAGGGCAACCTAAGGATTCCACTTTTGCACTCAATTCTTCCTCATTTAAATTTATTCCAGCCACAAATTAATCTTCAGCTTTGAAAGCCATTCACAAACAAATCCAGTTTTCCTTAAATTTGTTACTAGTCTTGCAATCCAGCTTTGGATTACATCAGTCTTATGCCAATGCCTATCAGTTTCTTTGCTGATGTTAGGAGCTGGAGGTGATTGACCAATGTTGATATTGTTTCTTGTTGTGGGTGAGTCTCTCTCTCTCTCTCTCGTGATTAGTAACTATGAATTTTATTGATTATAAAAAATAATGAATATATATTTATCAAAAAAAATAATGAATATATCTATACAAGAGAAACCAAACACTATGCCACCCCTGGTAGTCTATGAGGCCCCGATATTCTGCCATCCTCTAATGATGTCAACTGTTGCTGTGTGTTGAATAACGATGTTTTCACCCAGTGGGTCACGTTGATCATCATGCTTAATGGAATGACAACAAGAAACAGAAGAAGATAATGGTAAACATTCAGATGAAATAAGTAAATCAAGTTTCTTTGCAAAAGGATTGCCGAACTAACGATGCCAAATATTCCAATCATTATTACAAGATAAGGAAGTAGTAGAAAATAAACAAGAAGAACTAGTTGCTAGAGAAGTAGGTCTCTTCTCAAATTCTAGAGTGAATAGCCATCCCGGTCTACGCTACTCCCCCTTCCCCTCTCTAGTGTGTTGGTCCTGTATCAAACAACCATTAGGTGAGAAGGTGACAGTGTGACCATGTTCAACAAGTTAGACCAGCTGATATTAAATTTATTGCAAGTCTAGGAATAAATAACGTCTGTGGTAACTTGATAGGGGAAGAGCAAGAGGTAGATAAGGTGAGATAATTACAGCTAGAAATATCAAGTTGCTCACCATTGGCTGTAACAATGTGTTTGCTAGAAGGAAGAGGATAGGATGGCTGATCGCATGTAGCTCCCATCATATGACTGGAAGCACTAGAATCTATTATCTAGAGATGACTAAGAGAGGCACAATAGTAGGCATACTTACTAGACAAACCAAAAGCAGAAAATGCAGAGGAGATTTCCGAGGACATCAACTTCCGAATCTTTTCTTTAGTCATAACATTTGCAGTGTCATTTTTGGTCTGAGATGTGGAGGATGATGTATCATCTGATCCCTCAACTGAAGTTTGATATGCCTTGTGATGTCTCTTTTTCCCACTAGATTGGTTTCCTTTAGGTGATCTTGTGGGGCATTCAGTAAAAATGTGGCCAAATTTCTTGTAGTAAGTGCGTATTTTTTTCTTACAATGGGATATCACATGACCAAATTTTTTGCACTTGTAACACTGCACACTGGATAAGTCCTTTGGTTTGGACTTACCTGTTTCTAAAAATACAACCTCTACTGTATCATTCTTGAAGTGATTATCCTGGTTTCCCCTCTGAGTAATTCACCCAAAATAGTATCAAGTTATGGTACAGTGTCTCTACATAAAATGCTTGATCTTATTACTTCATACTCAGGTCAGAGATGTATGAAAAAGTGCATTACTTTCCTTTTGTCAAAATGTTCCTTCAAAGTTTTGATACAGGAAGTTGAGGACATTTCACCCATGTGAATAAGCTCATACTCTTCCCAAAGATTGATGAACCCCGCATAATATTCTTGAATTTTTCTTTCACCCTGGCTGTAGGAAATAACTTAGTTTCAATCGGATATTGTCGTGAGATGTTGGACTGTTGATAAAGCTTTTCGAGATATCATACATCTCCTTGGCTGTCTGGAGATCCCTCATAGGGATAGCAACATCAGTGGTGACTAAACTTAGAATCCAGGATGCAATATGGGCATTATTAATCTTCCAAGCCTACAGCCCTTTTGCATCAGTCACTCAGGCACAGTTGTGGATCCATCAATATAGCCCCACAACCCCTTGCCTTAACATAAAACTAAAAATGGAGCTTCCATAAGGCATAGTTGGTTCCCTTTTTTTTATAGGAAACGGTAAATTTCATTAAGAAGATTAAAAAAGTACAGCTGTCACCACCCAAAGGATAGCTAAAGAGACCAAGTCATAAACAGTTTACAAGCAAGCCCAAATTAAAGCCCCCCTATTTACTCCTTGCTTTGCTAGAGCATCGACGATTCCATTTTCTGATCTTCTTACCCACTTAAACTATACCCTTAACTCCTTTGCTAAGTACAATATTTCCCTTAACGGTTGCCTGTAAGTCCATGCACCTAACTTCTTCCTTTCATCCAGCCGATTACCAGTTTGGAGTCACCTTCCACTTCTAGCTATTGCATAGGCATAGTTGGTTCCATTGATCTTAATAGGAAGAACATCACCTCTTTCAGATGCCATAGTAAGGGAAAAGATGAAGAAAATAGTCTCCAACAGTCTGAAAATAGAAAAAGAAATATGTTCACAGTCCAAAACAGGAAGGTTCACAGACGAACCGAACAAAGGGAGGGATCAAAACCCTAGCAAACCAACTCCAATCTTCACCAAATTTCTATGGCTGTAGGAACAGCCTAGGGCGACACCAGATCTAAATTTTTAGAGCAAACGGATCAATTTTTTGAAAGAAAACCCCGAAAAACTGACCTGAGTGGCATCCCAGTCCAGAAAATCCAGATTTCTTGTCTTCATCAGAACAGTCCAAGAAAGAAGGATATGCCAGTCCAAATAGGTTGAGAAATAGACCCAGCTTGATGCTGAATATAAGAGAACAAAGTCTGAGATCAAATCCAAATAAAATGAACCCCACATGAATAGACCTTGCGTGAACAGTAACGTTAATGGTAACCGTGAACAGTAACGTGAATGGTAACCGTGAACAGTAACTTGATTGTTAGTCTTGGTTCACCAAACTAATTCCCACACTAAAGCTGCTCTGATACCATGTTAGTGCAGTTCGTACAAGAGAGAACACAGCAGATTTGGGGGTTGTGTCTAATGTGCCAACCACACCAAGAAGATGCTATTTATATTAAAAGATGTAAAAGGATACTTCTGTCCTTGTAATACACCAAGTAATGTACAAGGTAAAAAGAATAGAAAAGTAATGGTACAACAAGAACACAGCAGATTTGGGGGTTGTGTCTAATGTGCCAACCACACCAAGAAGACGCTATTTATATTAAAAGATGTAAAAGGACACTTCTGTCCTTGTAATACACTAAGTAATGTACAAGGTAAAAAGAATAGAAAAGTAATGGTACAACAAGAAAGCAAAATTACAATTCAGCCATCACTATCTCTGTATATACACCCCCTTCCAAAAAAAAGGAAAGTGACTTTCAGGTTTCTATCTTGGGGCAAACCTAGGGGCTATTGCTTGGTGTAATGGTAAAACCTTGGTTTGATAACCATGAGAATGCAAGTTTGAGTCTGATAAGAGCGACTATATCCAGTCCACCCTCCCAACACCCCAGATAACTGGGACCAACATTGGGTAATGGCTTTTTTTTTCTTTAATCCAAGGGCAAACCTAAATATTAAGCGTCAAGGTGCTCAGGTTCCTCCGTGGATGCTAGTGCATGCCTGATGCCTCATCTTCATCTGCTCTCAAAATGGTACCGGGTACACTACATTTGGAGTTTGGACAAGTTCATTTGTCAAACCAGAAACTATCTCCACAAGTTGGGAGAGGATTGTACTTGTAAAATGGTCCGATGTGTTAAACAAGTCCTCCGTATTAATGTAGTTAAGGCTATTTATTTGCCTTAATTATTACACACAAATTACTACTTTCCGACCCCAAATAGTTGGGATAAAGTCTGACTTGAACTCTAAGGTTGGTATTTGTTTTTATCTGTTGATTAGTATAATAGAAAAGATGCATTGATATACCACTTTTATCATTTTTGTGTTTTACTACTTTGTACTGTCAAGTTTGTATTAACTCTAAGGTTGGTCTATTTTGTAATTGTTTTTTCCATTTATTGAGTGATAGCAATACAAAGTTATTAGTTGGTGATGCAAGCAATGACTTTACATTGTTTTCTGCAGGCAGAGTATTTGTATTTGTCAACTTCAGAGCATATACATTTGAGAATGTCAACTAAAGTATCAAGCTTCTGGGGTCCTGTTACATCCACCACAGACTGGTGTGAGAAAAATTATGTCCATTCTTCCTACATTGCAGAATTCTATAACACTATATCAAATATTCCAACCATTCTTTTGGCACTCATTGGGCTTATAAATGCCTTGAGACAACGATTTGAGAAGAGATTTAGTGTACTTCACATATCTAATATGATACTTGCCATTGGGAGCATGTTATTCCATGCAACACTACAGCATGTGTAAGTTTCTTTCTGCTATGCCATCTCTTACTGGTTTTCCTTTTTATTAACTTCTTTCCCAGCATGATAAAATGGTCCTTAGACCAAGTTTTTTAAAATGTTATTTTATTTTTTCTAATTTAAATCTCTAAGTTAGATTCAATGGTTTTAATGTAATTGTCATCTTCCTTCTGGTCATCTTTACTTCCTAATTTATTTGGGGCTCCTTGCTCATAATTTTCTTCATTAGGGTTAGTTAGAAAAGCAATTGAAGAGAAAGTAAAATCTGGGCTGGCTAATCTTTTGTTCCTTATGGTTGGGTTATGGTGGATAAATTTTGGATTTTTAGCAATGCATGCTTGTGTTTTGTAACCTGACCTTATATCCTGTGCATGTTTGTTTTGTTTTATTTTCTTTCTATCTTTGTTCTTTAAGTTTTTGGTTGCAAAGAAAGTGGAAAAAAAAAGAAAAGAAAAACAGAAAAGAAAGTGACTTTCCTTGGTTCACTTGACATTGAAAATCAAAGGAAAAGAAAATTATGACAAAATAGGAAGGTAAGTTTGCTCTTTGACCTCTTTTATTTTCTCTCCAAAAGATGGAGAAAGCAGAGGTAAACAATGGAGAGAGTGGAAGATAAATGTTTCTCTTGGTGGTAGAATTTCCCTCATTAAATCCACCTTTTCAAATCTCCCAGTGTATTTCTTTTCAGTCTTTTTTGTGTCCAGCAAGGTTACTAAGTAGTAAAAAGGATTTAGAGGAATTTTTTACAAGAGTTGGGTGGTTTAAAAAAGTACCATGTACATTTTGCTTTAGATTCTGTGTTCTAAGATTTTATGTGCTTCATGTTTGGAGAGGCAGCATCTCGCGCCTTCCCAAGGGACTGATTATGTAATTTCTTTCTGATTTAATGGAAATATGATATTTAATCTATCAAAAAAAGTACCATCTTTTAATTGGAATACTACGGGATATTCTCTTTTTGAAATGTCTCCTTGGGCAAATGGTCATGGATATTCTCTTTTGATTTTGGTAAACTATTAAGAAATATCCATGGGATACAAACATATGGTGGGATACTAGTTGGCCCCAAAAACAATGTTGATTCTCCTTGTAAAGCATTCTATTCAATTCTTCACAGTCAGTGTTTTAAAAGCGCAAGGCACAAAAAAGGTGCAGGGGTCAATTTGTGCCTGAGGCGCAAGGCGAGGCGCACGCCTTTTTGAAGCAAGGCGCAAAAATACAAAAAAAAATTTCAAAAAAATAAAAAAATATTAAACATAATATTAATAAAAACTATAAACTTAAATTTTAAAATAAGTGTTTTAAAAAACCTATTATCTAAAATTAAAATACATAAACATAAGATGTAAAGCATATTCAAATGAGAATTTAAAAATAAAATCAAACATATAAAACATTTTCAAGCATGTAAAACCTCTAATCTCTTTTTTCACTCAATTGCATTACTTCAAGTAGCTAATGTAATGTAAAACATACTACGTTCCTGATTCTACGAACCGCCTTTGTGCCATGCCCCTCGAGGCAAGCTCGAACAAGTTCATGTTAGGTGTTAATTTCTTAGTTCTCACACAAAAAATAATGAATTTATAATTCTAATTGCTTTTTAAGAAAAATATTTTATTAGGATGAATGAGTGAACAACATTAGCAAATAGGGGGTTCTTGGAGCTCCGGTACTGGCCGCTATGTTCAAATAAAGCAAAAGAGCATTAAATTTTCCAAAGGCGTGTGCCTAGGCTGAGGCACAAGGTGCATCGGGCGTGCACCTTTTGAAAAGGCTGCGCTTAGGACCTAGGCGAGGCACATACCCTAAAATGCGCCTCGCCTATGTGCCTAGGCGCGCCTGAGGCGTGTCTTTTAAATCACTGTTCACAGTATTTGTAAGTTGTTAGATATGATCTTGGGAGAGCTCTTTGGGTTCATTTTTGGGACTACTTTTGGTGGGATGACTCTCTAATCTCTATTGAGGAATAGATTCCCAAGGTTATATTCTATCTCGGTATCTCCTTGTATAATAATTATCCCATTTCATCCTTGGGCTTACCACCCTCTTGGAATTTTGATTTCAAGAGGGTCCTTACAGACGTTGAAATTTTGGAGGCCTTTGAACTTATTCAAACATTATATGGGGTATTTTAGACATAAATAAAGTTAGGATTTGAGGTATAGATAAACTTGGTCATTTTTTCGTGCTCCTATTTTTGAAGCCTTGTCCTTATTTCATTAGTGTTCTTCGTCCTTTTTGGTTAAAGCAATATGGTTGGATCTCATACCCCCTAACATAAGGGCTTTTTGTTTGGAGCTATAATATCAATAGATGTGAGCTCCTTTGAGGAAGAAGGCCTACTTGGGCACTTTTCACCCATATTTGAATTGTTTGCATGACAAGTGGTGAATGAACAATCCACTTGCTAATCTCTTGCTCTTTTATTAGGCTATTAGCAACATTTGAGAATGTTTCTTTTCTTTATTGGGTGTGAGGTGGAACTCTCCAGATAATATTGAATCCTTATTTCAGCTAACTTTCTTCTCCCTGAAGACTAAAAGAGGGATGTGAGCAATACCATAGAGATGCATGAGAGTATCCATCTTATGGATGATATGGGAAGAATGAAACATGAGAATCTTCTCAAGTGTAGTTAAAATCTAAAGAGGGCCTAATTGACTTGGTAAAAATGAGAGTTGAGAGTTCTACATTGGTTAAAGATCAAAGAAAATTTTCTTTTATCTAAAGAAGATAAAAGAAATTTTTTTTTTCAGAGGTTGGTCGAACACTTGAGAGATGGTAGATTTTGGCATTTTTGAGGAAGGGCTCACTTCAGTACGAGTGCTTGGTCGATTGATAAAGGTTGTTGCGGCTAACCAAGGGGTTTGGGAACACGAGGAGTTCTTGCGCAGATGTCTGATCATGCGTTCTTAGATGGTTGTTCGTTGAGTGAGGAGGTGACATTTGCAGAATCCGTCATTGAGATGACTTGAAGGAAACAAATGGCTTGTCATTTTTGCTTCGGAGGAAGAAGCATGTGGAGCCCTTCATTCACGAAACCACTTCCTAAATGGAATGTGCTTTTCCTCGTAACCCTGGAGTCTGATAGGCTGTTTGGAAAAGCAGAGTAGTGGCTTCGGTAAGTGGTGGATGTCTTTGGTGTTGCTCTCTCAACCTGGTGCCTGAAAGCGTTCAAAGAAGTTGGCGATGCAGTCGGGGGTTTCATCACTGTAGACCCAAAAAACCTCGCCTAGGAAAACCTCGATTCACTTCGTCTTTTGGTATGGAGCAAGGTGGTACGGGATATTCCTAAAACCACAGAACTAATTGTGAGAGGTATTAAATATTTACTGCAGATTGCGATCGAGGACCTTGAGATCTTGTTGGTGAACAAACCATTGTGCTGTTGTAATTTGGAGTCCAACTAGCGAACGCCTGCTTTGACTGACTTCAGGAGGAAGCAACCCCCTGTTCTGGAGTGTGGTGGGTTATGGGGTTAGTGGTGAGCATTTCGTTGGGGGTGGGTTTGCAGATGCCAATTTCAAGAATAGACTGTAAAAGAAATCGTTGCAGAAAGAAGCGGCTGCTGCCGCGTGTGAATGGGACAGGGAGTTTTAAGCAGAGTAGGTGTCACTATTCTCTGAAGTGATGGATGGTGTTCATAACCACTCCAAAATGACAAGCGGGAATCTGTTGCTATTGCCAGCGCCGGAGAGAATCTTGCTGGAAGTGCCATCAGAGTCAAGGTTACCGGAGTTTCGAAGAACTTGTGCCGCCTATGGACAAGACGGGGTAGTTTCCTCAATTTTCAAAAGTCCCTTGTGGTATTTCGGTAAGTGGGGAATTTTCAAGTTTCGTCTTCCAACCTGGGTTAGACCCTTATGGGTCAACCTGATCATAGTTGCTTCTCTACCTAGCAATCAGGCTCATGAGCTGGGTTGGGCTCGGCTTGTTTTGGAGACAAAAACGCGACCTTCTCTCAAGGGCTAGTTCCTTTGAGCTCCATTTGGCATCGATTTTAGGTAATCAAAGGCCTTGTGGCGGTGGCGGTTATGAGGCCCATTCAAACAACGATTCCCTTGCAAACTCCTTTGACAAGCACTACGTCCAAAGGAGAGTCCATTAGTGATGGGGCTCGAGTAAGCGAGCCCCTTTTAGACAGTTTAGCCAAGGTCTTTGTGTTTGGATGTTGCCTTGTTTAGTTTTGCACTTGTGACCGCAGGCCCGCTCATCAGAGCGGTTTGGGGTCTGCTTGTCTCTCTCCTTTTTTTTTGAGAAAAGTTAACTGATTTCATTCAAAAGAGAAAGAGGTACACAAGGAGGTGTGCAGATACATAACATGGAACAGACCCCTGAGAGTTATACAGGAGGAAATTTGTCACAATACAAGGGACTCCAAATTAGCACCTAGTTTTGCTAAACCATCTGCAGTAGCATTTAACTCCCTTGGAGTCCAGTACAGAGAAGCATTCATAAGAGCCAATAGATCTCTTGCCTCTGATAAGAAGTGACTAAGTCTCCACAGTCCAGCTTCCTGTTGTCCTTACCATTTTATGGTGTTTGCTGAGTCGCCTTCGATGGAGAAGTTCTGAATACCCAGTTTGTTGACTAGGCGAATCCCTGTTAGAGCTGCTAATGCTTCAGCCTTTGTAGAGTCAGCTAATCCAATCGGTCAACTGTAAACCCAGCAAACGAGTCCATTTTCATCTCTTAGGATTCCCCCTATACTGGCAACTCCAGGGTTACCCAGGGCACTTCCATCAAAATTTAGAGTCCAAGTTCTTGCCCTTCTTGTTGAGGGGACTCTATGGGTGTGAGGAGTGTATGGGGAGGAGTGCAGAAAGTGGACCACATTCCTGTTGAGGTCATTGATATTGACTCCTTTGAACTCTTTTGAGCTGGAAGCCCACTGATTACAGTGATAAACAATGTGATTGAGCAGCTCACCCTTAGATTTTGCCTTGTTTTCGAACAGACGATTGTTCCTTTCCTCCCAGATTCCCCAGAGTACTGCT